TAGAGGTCCCAGTCAGTTCAATGTTGAAATCACTTCTATTCATGCTAATATGTACTATTTCATCAATAAGCATCTATTTGAATAATTTAGTGCTAAATTAATGACAGTTTTATGATTGAAATCTGTCCCTCTTTTAATGTTATCAATCCAGATGTAATTTTATATTTTCTTTTAATTTTATTTAGGAAAAACACACACACACACACTGAAAAGTTGTGATAAATTTCAGATAATTCTACTAAGACTTTACTACACAATGGAACATGTATTCTACTGATAATGCTGAGGTATCAGCCATTTTATGGACCTCCTCTGGTTTTATCCATCAAAATATGCATGATTTTTTGGTCCACTGACCCCTATTATCTATTCGCATTTTGGTTCATTGTAGTTTTCATAGTCTTCTAAAAAAAATATATAAATAAGAGTAAAAAAAAAAGAAAGAAAGAAAAAAATTCCAGATCGTAAGTTTTTCAGAGAAAGAATTTTGCCATTCATTGTCTATGGAAAACCCCAAGAAGTCTGGTTTCCTGCCATATACGTATATATTTTCAATGCCTTTTATCTCAAAAATATGCTTACTAACTCATTTTTTTCCCCTATATATTTTGCTTCAAATAATGAATACATCGAATTAAAGTGACAAAATTGAAAAGTTTAATACGATTTATCTCACCAGAATACATCCTAAAGCTAATTGTACGACATTCATTGGGATTCATTTATGATTCATCTCTCTTTTCTACAAAATAAATTGCAGAAAATGCTTGATACTTCATGTATTTGTAGTTGAAATATTTATGTGTATCAATAAATCACAGACCTTTTTGGACATTTTAAGTCAATGCACGAAATAGTTTTTATCACTAAACACATATTTTGAAAAATATATATATATAAGCATATTTTGAAGTAAAAAATATGAAACTTTCCGTAAATGAAAAAAAAAAATATCAACGACGAACTTCTTTACAAAATTTGAATGAGATGTTGTGTGTTAAAATTTTAAAACAGTGTTTTTAAAATAAAAAAAAAAATACCAGAGGTCAGGAGTACAACGAAATAAGTAAAATAGGATCACTTTAAAATCTAGTATTTTACATGAAAACTTACTACAAATAGGCGTCGGAAGCAAATTGAAAAGGGTGAGGGTTATAAAACAACAACATCAAAAAACGTTGGGGTGTAAGCCCCAATTTTCAATGTCTATATTATGTCTATCTTTACCAACAAAGTAAGGGAGCTAAGCCCCCCCCCCCCCCGGTTCCGACGCCTATGCTACATGAAACTCCTTTTTTGGCTTAGATTTAAAGAATTGACTAAATTGACAAAACAGTAATTTTCAAAGAATTTGTTGTATCATATTTCTTTCATTTTAAAATTTTCAAACCGAAATTAAGACAATTAGTGTGAAATAACAATCAAAAAGCCATTTTATTTTTACATATGCAAGAGAGGAAACTCAATCAAGATTTATATCTAATCACATCTAATCATTTATATCCCTGACACAAGTCTGAAAGAAAAAAAACCCCTACAATTCCTTTTGATTATGTATCTCAGAAAGTCTAGGATATAGCAATATTTTCTTTTTTCAAATGAAGTTCTACTTATAAAAATTCTGAAACCTTTTTCATGTATTTGTATATTCTATTGTCACTAGAAGCATATACAATATGATATTATTGTGAAAAACTTGTTACGGTAAGTTGATTTTTTCCCCCAAAAAATTCAATTTACCAGTCATTTTTTTTATTCACCCTCCTGTGCACAGATCTATTCACCACAATTTCTCGGAGACAAGTTTTCGTCGTCTGAAAAGCTGTAAAAGGCATACTACATGTATTTAAATTACACAGGCCCGTGCATGTAATTAAAAAAATCATGTTGATGAATTAATCTCTCTGCACCTTCTAATGTTATGATGATTCTTTTACACTTGCACCCTCCCTCTTTTCTATGTAAACCTAACAGATACATTGTCAGTATTCATTTCTATACTAACAGAAAGATTGCTGTTTTTTGTCTCAACTTTGGCAAATTTAACATATATTGTCCCCTTAGTCGTTATTAATCAATCGGTTTGTTAATAAATTCAATCAGATATCAATCCACCGCTAGTATATCATGATCCAAGCTTTGTTTCCTCAATGATCAATAACAATAAACGAACTTTTTCCTGGAGCTGTCAATTACTTTTACAAAACCTGTTCATTTAAGTCCTTTGCATTATTGTGACACATCTGTCTGGAATGAATAAAACTATAAATGAATAGAATAGTTATCTTGAAAAAAAAAAATAATAGAGAACTTAAATTAGGCAATAATTAATTAACCACCATCGAATTTCTAGAATGTGAATGTAATATTAGTAGGAATGCTTTGGAATTTGGAGGGATTTAGATGCGATTGAATAATAAACTGAATTAATCAAATTTAAGCATGAACAGAATATTGAATCGAAAGACTGTATTCCACTTTCATTTCTTGATGATTATAAGTCGCCAAACAGATGCTGGAACATATCAATATCAAAAGTGCTGTGTATGAGTAATTTTCATTTTTACTGGCAAAATTTATATGCAATCCTTAGTAACCGTGGTAACTGGGATTAAAACATAAATATATCCATTTTCTCTAGTATACTAGTATCTTACTTACATACTTTTTTGTTTGTTGTTTCTATCAGCTTCCTTTTACAGTCCCTGACTCTTTACCCCCCCCCCCCCACTCCACCCCCTTTCCTGTAACAGGAATATGCCTGTTTTTGTCATGGTGTCTATCCGTCCGTCTATCTGTAACAAATGAAATTATGGCACCTTTGACTGGAATGGATTCAAGTTTTGTGTTGTTACTCATGGCCTTTAGGTTTGTCACGATCTTTACTCCAGGTTATAAATGTTATATGTCAAAAGTCACTGAACAGTTACAAAATCGTATAAATTGTGCTCTGGAACTGTTTTTTAACTCAACATACAAAAACATTTTCTGATCACATTTTGTCAGGCATTCAAGCTGTCCGTCCGACGGTCTGTAAACTTTCGCCATTTTCAACTTCTTCTCAAGAATAATTTGGCCAGTTTAAACCAAAATTTTCCAGAAAGCACTCGTGGGTAAAGGGATTTCAATTTGTTCATATGCGGGGCCAAGACCTCTTTCAAGGGGAAATAATTCAGAATCTTTTCAACAGAATCACATCGCCACAAGCCACGGGTTTTGTGTGAAAACAGAATGCATATGGACACATTTTAAAATCTGTGGATTGCGACGATGAGAGAATCAGGGTCACGCTATTTCGTATCAATTACAAGTCAAATGCAAAACAATTCCTAATTTGTGTTGATTAATTCAGTATTATTTTTTCACACTGTATGAACTATGGGGTTAGGGTGGGTCTAAATTTTCCAAAACAATGGGGGGGGGGGGAGGGGAAGTTGTATTGATATTAAAATTTCCCAATGTTTCGTGGACACAAGTACATGTATCACTCGGGGCTAATTAAGTTGGGGCCACAATACGGATCAAAACTTCATGAAAATAATGTTGGAAAATTCTTCTTGAAATCTTTTTTTCTGAAGAACAGCAGGGCCAAGGTGACTCAGCTGAGATTTGTGGCCTATTAATTAATGTAGACCTCTTGTATTTTTTCTGAAAAAAAAAATGGTTGTATGGACTTTCCAAATACACGCATTTCTTAAAAATAGAAAATGAAGAAAAGTACACAAATTCTGAAAGATTCCTTTTCAAACCAGAACGACACTTAGGGATCATTTTAACCAAAGACTGTCCGACCGTCTGTCACACATAATTTAATTAAAGAGACATTTTTTTTTAATGTAAACATATTTTATTGAATCACAATCAATGGGATTGAACATATTCCAACTTAGATTGTCCTCTCCAACACAAACAAAATAACAAAAACAGATACACGTGATGTACAACCAACAAATGTACAATACAAAAAAAAAAGAAAATAAAGATGCAGAGAAATAAGAAAGGAAGGGAATAGAAGTGCAAGGAGAGAAGAAAGAAGGAAGGAGTTGTAAAAGATACAGAATGGTTACGCTGGTTATTCATAAAAATCTTTTGGATTTTTTAATTTACTTATGTACGGCTTTAACAAAGTTGAATGATATTATATTTTTTGTTACCCAAATTTCGGTCCCCAGATAGAATTATGTCAAGGTTTATTGGTCCTTTGTTATTTTTTTATGGTGTGAAATAAGTCTGTTCTTATTTCAGCATAATTTTTACAGTACAGGTAGAAGTGTTCAATGTTTTCATTGATATATCCACAAGAACATTGAGTGTTATCTGAAAGCCTAACCTTAAATAAATCTGACTTAAGGATGCTTACATCGTGTCTCATTCTAGTTAAAATTGAGTTTGTTTTTTTATCACCGTAAGAAAAATAATTTGGGGGAGATTCACCTATAAAAAGTCTTTTTTTTAAAAGCATTTACAGTATCGAGGTTTAATCTCTGTAGGCAAAGCATTTCATACTGATATTGTAGATGGAAAGAATGAAATTTTTAGTAAGTTTGTTCTACATTGGGGAAAAGCAATATTATTACAATTTCGTAAATCATTATGGGTGTAAAGAGACATAAATATTTTTTGAGACATCATAACTTAGCAATTGTTAGCGTGAAAACATTGTAACATGGATTTTAGCAACACATTCGGGAAGAAATTGGCAGTTTTAGTCACTAGTTACTTATTTTTATCTTATGACAGACCAGAAATTATTTTTACTTACTTTGTTTATTCTTTCACACTGTGACAGAATATCACTTTGATATCCTTTCACACTGTGACAGAATATCACTTTTATTCAATAAATAAATCACAGTATTTCACCGCTGAAAATGTAATAAAAGGGAAAAAATTTGCAAATGTGATTTTTTTTTTCAACTTTCTCTCCTTTTAGGTACTACTCGGTATTTAGTTCCACCAGTCCTTATACAAGCGTATGGATGATAGAGATTTCAGGACAGCATGTGGGTATTATTTGTTCAAGAACAAATCGTTATTTGTGATTCAGTGCTGCAGATCTAGATGGTAATATTTGCGTTCACATCTTATATTAAGATAAAATTCTTTTCAGTTTTGAAATTGGAAATTGGTCAGTCCTAACTTAATAAATTCATCACAAAAATTATGATATCTAGGAAATTCGAACTTATATACATACCTCAGTGTTAATAGGTAACTAGCAAGGGTCTACCTAAAGTTGTCGCTTATGGTCACTCATATGTAAGTGAATGTGCAAGGGACGACAAATCTGGTTACAGATTACTCCCGTAAGTACATGTCAGACTGATGTTTAAAAAAAAGACGTTATTTTGAAAAAGTGAGTTAACGTAAATCTATGGCACGCCAAATTCACAAAAATGAGCTAATCATAGTTTCACAGTTGATAAACTAGGTTTATCGACTGTAAACTATAGTTTACAGACCGTAAACTATAGTTAACGATGATAATCTATATTTCACATATGTAAACTATAGTTTACACGATAATCTATGTTTCACAAGCGTAAACTATAATTAACACGGAAAACAATCATTTGCTACTGCAAAATATAGTTTATCTGATAAATATAGTTTCATGATTTGTAAACTATGATTTACAACTCTAAACTATACTTAACAAATGTAAATTATAGTTTAGGCTTTGTAAAGTATACTTTACAGACATACAAAGCGCCAAATTCACAAAAATGCGATAAACATAGTTTTACACTTGAGAAACACAGTTTAGGAACAGAATCTCTTATTTTGTATCGGAGATGCACAATTTTCTATGGCACGCCAAATTCACAAAAATGAGCTAATCATAGTTTCACAGTTGATAAACTAGGTTTATCGACTGTAAACTATAGTTTACAGACCGTAAACTATAGTTAACGATGATAATCTATATTTCACATATGTAAACTATAGTTTACACGATAATCTATGTTTCACAAGCGTAAACTATAATTAACACGGAAAACAATCATTTGCTACTGCAAAATATAGTTTATCTGATAAATATAGTTTCACGATTTGTAAACTATGATTTACAACTCTAAACTATACTTAACAAATGTAAATTATAGTTTAGGCTTTGTAAAGTATACTTTACAGACATACAAAGCGCCAAATTCACAAAAATGCGATAAACATAGTTTTACACTTGAGAAACACAGTTTAGGAACAGAATCTCTTATTTTGTATCGGAGATGCACAATTTTCTGTGAAACTAGATTTCACGACTCTAAACCATAGTTTACGATCAAAACTATAGTTAACAATAGTTTTTCTTTTTCTTTTTTTTTAAATTATAGATCGGCTAATCCTAGTTACAGCATTATAAGATTTTGCTATGTAACGACAATTGTTGTTAAATATATATGCATGTATATTTCTTGTTGGCGTTATAAGTAAATGTTCTATTATTTTAAAGCAAATCTAGTTGGAAATAAAAAGAAAAATGACTGGAAAATTATTAAAATTTTATTTTTTTTTATTTAAAAGAGAAAAACAGAGACCGAAATGCGTGATCTGTCATTAATAAAATACATGTATATCTTATATTCATCTGTAAAAAAAGATGTAACATTGCAGGCGCGGAATTTATTTTTCAACAACCGAATTTTCTTCATACATAAATAAAAAGTGGCCTTTCACGGAACAAACACAACAAATATTTGGGACTTCTCTCTCATTCTCTCTATCTTAAATTCAAAGGAGGACGTTGAAACCCCCACAACCCTATCTATATCCGCCACTGCATTTCCTCTCTTTCAGTTTCTTTGTTTTGGTGATGAGATGTGGCGGGAAAATGCTTGGCACATTGTAAAACGCGCTTCACCCTCCTCTGCTTGAGCAAAAATCTCGTAATATTCTGTCTTTTAAAAAATTAAAATTTTATCATATTTCTAAAAATTTCCCCATAGGAAATGTATATATACACGACATTTGAAAACAAATACAATTAATCCTGTTTAAATAGAGAAAGTAATATTGATTATATATAACTTGGTCTTTGCTTTAGATAATGCCCAACACGTGTCCTTAATTAAAACCAGAGACATACACCCCATTATTGCTTCTCGCAATTGGTGCCGCGAAATTTCGAATTGAAAACTATCGTTAACAGTTAACAGGTGTTTAGATTCATAAACTATATTTAACAACTCTTAACTATAGTTTACGACTGTGAATTATAGTTTATTACGATAAACTATGATTGGCAAATGTGAATCATAGTTTAGCTCTCAAAACTATAGTTTACAATCGATAAGTATAGTTTACGTCTGTTAAATATAGTTTGTGAGTATAAATGACAGTTTATAACCGAAATCTATGGTTAACGAATGTAAAACATAGTTTATCTGATAAATATAGTTTCACGATTTGTGAAACTATGATTAACAATTCTTAATTATAGTTCACGATTGTAAATTATAGTTTACAGATGTGAATCTATGTTTATCAACAAAATCTATTGTTAACGTTTAATTACAGACAGATAAACTTAGATTAGCATTCGTAAACTATAGTTAACAACCGTTAAATATAGTTTTACAGATGAAAACTATAGTTAACGAATCGTTAACTATAGTTCACGGTTTGTAAACTATAGTTTACAGTCGATAAACCTAGTTTATCAACTGTGAAACTAAGTTTCGCTAATTTTTGTGAAATTGGCGTGCCATATAAATCAGACATTTTTGTCCGAAAACTTTATAAAACAAGTCATTTACCGATATAGAGTAAATTTTGATTGCACGAGAGTGATGTGATTGCAAGTCTACCGTAGTACGTTTTGTTTATGAAGATGAGGAGATTAAAAGAAAATACAAAACTGTCAAAATTCGGACCCTGTCGAATTTAGGACCTTCGACTATAGTTTTACAGGTGCTTCACAATCTCTTGATTTAGCTATGTAGCTTGATTTAGCTATATAGCTTTATTAAGCTATTCAAAATAGCTTGATAAAGCTATTTATATGCAGTTTTTTACAAAAATGTTTTTTTGTAAAAAGTAGACAAAAAGTCGCAAGTATTTGACTGTTTATGTCGCGGATGTGTTCCGGAATTCAGAATATCGGCCATGAAAAGTCTTAAATTATGTTGAATTATTTTGTAAATTAACCTGTTCCTGGTTTATTTGACTTCAGTTCTCTGACTGTCTTATTTTAGCAAATTTTTAGTGTCAGTTTGATAATCTAATTAGTGCATTAACCTTTTAGTATACTTGTGTATTTAATATTGCATTGTTGGTGAATATTATAGTATTTGCTACCTTGTGTACAACGAAATACGCTTGGACGGTTTATCTATTTGATCCCGAGGGGGCATGTAACACCTGGGGTCTAATTGAGTGTCGAGCATGCAGTTTCAGCATGTTCAGGCAGAACAAAAAGGAGGTCTTGGAGATAGATACTGTAAAGTCGCGAGTATTGGCCGCAACGGTGTAAAAGACGCACCCCCAAAGTTGGGGTGAAAATCCTGAAAAAAATGCAGGTCCTATGTAAAATGCGCATCCAAAAAACGCATAAATTGGATGTGACTTTAATTTTTCTAGTACAGTAACTTAAGATGAAAGTAGGAAAATTTACGAATCTCAAACGAAAGTAGCAAGTCAGCTTTTTTACTCTACGTATTATAAGTGTGCATGTGTGAACATTTTAATTTAATCTTTTTAATAATTATTTAATCAGAGATGATAAAAGAAATACCTGATTATTTTCTTTTCAAATAAATTCCAAGCGTGTTATGAAGTTATGCTTACCGGTGTAATGCATAACAAGCGCGTGTCCGTATTTACGTAAACAAAAATCATACCCAAGCGATATTAGTGTCAAAGGTTTGGCTTTGTGTAATTAAACAGTTCCTGGTATCCATCGATAATTATTTTAGTTAGCTGGGCAATGAACAATCAGTGCTGTGACCATGATGACGTGCTAAATGAACATTTTAATATTTATGTCTTATGAATATTTTCTTGAATGTTACAAAATACGTTTATATATATGTGCTTCCGACTGAAATATGTTTTAATAAAGTTCTTTTTAAAAAACGCGTCGCTTTCATTGCAGGTGTCAGGTGATAATTGTTAAATAAACAATGGTCATGTCCTACGTGACAACATAGACTGAAGTTATATATAGCAATGACGCGACAATAGAATCCCTAACGATTTGCACCTCTAATTGCATACCTGAAATTTAAAAAAAAATAAAAATAAGATATTGAATTATGGATAATTCAGAATATATCACGAAGATTATAGTTGTTGACTCATTTATAGGTATTAATATATCTATGTCTTAAGCGACATGCAGTTCTTGTATACGATATAAGCTACGGTAGTTGAAAATGGCAGAATACGCAATGGAAATAAAACAAAAACAAAGATCGTTTTTCATTATGATTTTATTTATAAAACGATTATCTTTTTTTCATCAGGTAGGGTAGATGTATATGACTACAACAGGTAGGACTAACGTATATGACTCTTATATTAGAGTAATAGTAATAAACTTTGACATAATTGGTTACAAAGAGTAGGCCTAATCAATTCAAACGGATCGGGAAAATGGTCCTTGTGACCTGGAAAAAAGGGGGTTGTATTTTGTTCCGATGTATTAAGCGCATCCCTAATTTTAAACAATTTTCTGAAGAAAAAAAGTGCGACCAATACAAGCGACTTTATGGTAGACGTAGCTCGTTTGGTTGGATGTAGATCGGTGTGCATTAGTATTTTGGTTAGGAAGATTGGGGAAGTTTAGTTTATATATTTGTATAGTAGCAAAGGTATAAGAAGACCATAGAGTTGTTGGACTGTTGTCCTAATGTTTGTCGATTCATTACCTATGAGGGTGTTTGTTGAATCTTTGTCATATTGTAGTTATGACTGTTGCTTTACTGTGTTTGTAAAGTGTGGAACTCTGTGTCTTGAGTGTTTTGTGATACAGTTGTTTGTGCTGTAGAGCATTGGTTTTTGTCTTCGCCCGGAATCTTCCTTGATTTGGCTTATGTATATTCATTATATGTTCTGTAAATACG